GAAAAAACTAATATTAAACAGAGTTTTGTCTTTACTTTCCAATCTCTACCTTCTGCCAACACACACACACACACACACACACACACACACACACCATCCATGTCAGCCCCCTTCAAAAGCAGCTATTTACCTCACAGAAGGGAAGAAACCAGAGAGAACTAAACAATTCAATCTCCAAATTCAGAGTCCTTTATGCCAAAGCAATCGAGAAAGAACAGGTCTTTGAATTCCCTCCAGCTTGGCTTTGAATAGCAAGAGCCAGGCCTAAAGGAAGGGAAGAAAAAGTTGAATTCTAACAACAGATTTCAAAAGAACTAAAGTGTTCCTGTCTGCTCCATCAGTTTCTTTCCTGAAGACTCCTAGACTGTTTATAGAGGTAAAAAGAGAGCTTCATAGAGTGCTCCAATAACTCAGTCAAATGCAGGACTTTCCCTGCATTAGTCAACTGGAGAGATGCACAGGGATCTCCGAAGATGTCACCATGACAGGGTACCACCAAGGAACAATGAGATACCTCATCACACCTGCTGGGCCTTGCAGCAAGGGGGGGGTGGGGACGGGGGCTCTGTTACATTAACCTGCCTCTCCAGCAATGTTCCCTTGACTGTATAATCTGCTATTTGCTTCCTACCATATTATCACAGGAATGGTGGACTGAAAATGTTTCATCCTTGCCTTTTTTTTTTATATTTTCACTTTGTCTTTTCAAGAAGTCCAAAGAATATTACTTGTCTAAGACCTTGTCAGGGCCATGACAGTCTAAGTACCCAATAAAAAAAATAAAAACAAAAACACAAATAAATGCACCATCTAGGAAAACAAACCAGAACAACCCATTATTTAGGCTCAGATGTGCCCAAGATCCAACCATACGAAACTGTAGAGGCCAAGGTAAAGAGCTTTAAAAGGCTAGTGAAGCAAAGAGGATTTTTAATTCTAAGACAACCAAATCCAATTTTTTTAATGAGTGAGTTGGCCATGAAACAGATTTCAATAAAAGCAAAGAAGTGGTTTTGATATGCTTTATTTTCCATTTAAAAATCAAGAGATTTAAATATAGCACCCATGCCCCACTTCTATTCGCATAAAGGGAAAATATGCTATGCCAAGTGGTGAAAAGTGAAATTGTTGGCTTGATTTGCTCTTCAATCTGGCATTTTCCATGAAGTACAGTTTTCCTCGGGTTATCTAAACTTTTTCGCCCTCGTTGGTGAAAGCATAACTACTACCAAAAGTAATTTTGAGCACTCTTTATGGTAGGGTATCAGGTTAATCATTTTTCATCTTCTCTATAAGGAAAAGTTTTCATTTGTCAATTTCTTTAAAGGTGTCACCACAGTCCTGATAGTTGAATGAATATTAGATACGGGGTTTATTCTCCATTGTGTTTGGATAGGTAAGCATTGAAGGGAACTATTTCCCAGTTGGAGATTAACTAGGAATGGTCCCATCCATTTGAAAAATGTAATTCATCAAGAAGACTTATCATGCGTACATAAAGAAGGAAAGTGTGTGATGTTGTTATAGTAAGAAAGAAGAGATCACATCCTATTTTATAATTTCACAGTTCTTTTCATTTACCCACAGGTGTTTCCTCAATTCACAGAACAGGTTCTAACACTTGACTAATTAATTCAAGTATATATTTTTGCCATAATATATGGGATAGAATAGAGGTCAATGATATCAGTTTATAAAGTAGGAGCTTGGTATTCCCCATATGCACCTAAAAATGCTCTTCTGATTTATTTTACAAACAATAAAATAGCTCCTCTAGCAAACCATATTTGGAGCACCTAAAATAATCTGGTATGTATTAGGACTTAGTTTGAGTCAGGTATGGGATGACAAGAGCATACTACGGTGATAATGAGTGTAAATAATTAGAAAGCCATGTAAATTATTTCAACCTGTTTTGCAAGACATAACCTGGGAAAATGTTGGGATTATTGTGATTCATCCAGACAGCCTTTCGCCAAGAACCTATGCCCACATACAACTTCTCAAAGGACCTAGAGAGAACATTTGTAGGTCCCTAAAATAAGGCAAGAGAGATTCAATACACAAAGGAAACTTTTCTATGTGATATAAAAGGAAAGAAGAAAGAGGCAGTAAGTTGCTATACTTGGAGTAAGGGTATTAGTTTCTGATTCAGAAACTCTTGGGGAGGAACACACAAGTGGGTATGTCCATGCTAGAAATCACACAAAGGTTGGAGCGGGCTGGCGGGGGGGGCAGCAGAAATGACTCACATGGGGCTTCTCTTTCACCTACAGAAGAGGATACCCCAAGTATCCCAAACGTGTCCTCAAGGACCTCCTGAGACACCCCATCAGTGACACTGTTTTCATTCCTCTACCTGTGACACTTGATAGCTCTCTCCGTCCCTACCTCCCCCCCCCGCCCCATCCCAAGTCTTTAACATTCCTTCTGTTCCTTAAGGACAGGAAACCTCTCCTCTCCCCCCCACCCCCGTTTTAGGACCAGTGCCTGCCTCCCCTCTGCCCCGCATGCACGGCATCTCGTATCTGCACTTAGATCTCAGCTTGAACATCACCTCCCCAGAGAGGTCCTCCCTTGGTAACCTGGTGCAGGGTGGCCTCATCCCTCAAGGCTAGTTTCCTTCCTTACTGCTCATCTGTATCCTCTGCTGGGGAGAGCCCTGAATCCCCCGAGCTTGCAACAATTCCTGGCACGTGGCAGGCACTCCATAAATATTTGTCCAACAAACAAGGCTGCAACTTCTTTGTTGAATGCTATAATAATATTGCTTTCCTTTCAAGGTAATCTGGGCTTCTTTCATCTTGTGGATATTTGCAGCAAGAAAGACAGCTCACTTATTATGCAAGCACATTTCCCTTTAATGTTACGTGACACTGGTATTGCTTTTGTTCTTCCAAATTTGCTTCACTCCATCTGATACATAATTTAATCTAATTTCTCACTGTGCTTGTTGATTCAACTTGAAGACTTTTCATGCATTGGAGAGTCTATTTATAGGTCTACTTCGCATTTTGTCTGTTAACTTCATTTCTGTGCCCTCAAAACAAATATGTGGGCACTTAATCACGCATTTCCCTTCCCAGGCAGCGCGGGTGTGGGCTGAGCTAAGGCTCACACCATCCAAACGTAAATTAAGGCATCTTTTGATAAGAAAATCTGACATACCATGCAAAACTATTTCTAGAATTATTATTATCATTCAGAATTATTCTAGAGCCATAGCTATTGTTTTGTGGAACATACAAATCCTTCCACAGCTGTGAAAAAGAAAGAACATGATTGAAGGTTTTTTTTTCTTTTTTGAAGGGCTTGATTGGGTGTAGTAAGTGTATACTTTTAGTTTGCTTTGTTTAAAAAGAGAAAGGTCCACAAACAATGAATCATGGAACACTACATCAAAAACTAATGACGTAATGTATGGGGATTAACTTAACAATAAAAAAACTTAAAGAAAAAAAAAAAGAGAGAAAGGTCATCAGAGAGGCCTTCAGTGTATTCAGCAAGGAAAGCAAAAACTGAAAGAACTGAGAAAAGCAGTTTTACACCCCGAGAGGCTGTAGGTACAGGAGTTAGGGCATTCTAGGAATCAAATGTGACCTCCGCTTTACTGTGTGTTCACATAGTTGACGAGGGAGACCAGCGAATCATAGGGGAGCTCCCTTCCATAGGCATGGAACAAAGAATCTGTATATAGGCACTTCTCAGGTTCCAGGGATCAGAGAATGACCAGGAGAGTCAGGAGCCAGAGAGGAAAACATTTTCACTAGCTTTCCGATTCACTCCTGTTAATGCGCCACTCCGGCAATTCTTCAGCTTTTGGAGACTCAAACCCCCTGATGAACCCGCTCCTCCCTGAGTGCCTCCCCCTCCTTGGCCCACTGAGCTAGCAGTGGGTGGGGGGGGGAGGGTCAGCCTCCACCATCCTTCTTTCACCTGCTCCCCATTCTCTCCCTCCACCATTCCTGGTTCCCTGGCCAAACACCCATCCACGTGGCTATGGGAGGGTGGGAGCCCGACTTCCGGAAGGGATGATGAGCAAATGCAAATGACCTCACCACACTGCCCCGCCTCCCCCAGGAAGACCCCCCCCACATTCTTCTCCACTAGCTCAGCCTCCCACTTAAAAATCCTGCCACCTTTTGTTCCAGCAGAGTCGAGCTTGATCTCTGTGCCCTATCACAAGTCTTGAATGAGCTCTTCCTTGCCTGTTTAATTTAGACTCGGGATGGCTAACATCCAGTGGGGCGGAGGACACCCAGCCATCACGCTGTTCTAGTTCGAACACACCTTCGTTTTCTCCTGCCTTCTCCTCTGCCCCCGAACCTCTCATAGCTCTGCCCCCTCCTCATTCTCAGCTGATGGCCTTGCTTTCTGGATCATTGAGGAAACAGGATACCAGAGCAGGTTTCCTCCAGCTCCCATCACCCCCCGATCACCCCACCGACCCGCATGTGCACCCTGATACCCCTCCTTCCCAGGCTCTATAGGCACCAAAGACCCTATCCTTTCGAGCTCACTCAAGACTCCGCCTGGGCTCCGCAGGTTCAGAGAATAAGAATGAACAGTGACCCTTCCACATGTAGGCACACAACTACTGTGTTTCAAATACACTCATACACTACTACAACAGTACCCAACTCCTAAGCCCTGATGTAAATTGGCTCATCTAAAGCTTCAGAGTTCCCGGTAACTCACGCAATCCTGGTTTACACCGACTGTCATCAGAGAAATACAATGCCTCCCATTCTTGGAAGTCAAAGTCACATTCTATTTGCCACAGGGAGGTTTCCCTCCCTCTGTAGCTCAGTTGATTTGCACATTTCTAACTGTGGATAAATGACAGATGTGCTGAGCTGCTTTTTATTGGAAGCCAAGTAGAGAGCTCATCCTGGAGCTTAAAAATATTTACAAGGTTTCTGCAGTGTATGACTCCTCATCACACTGCTATGCTGGGCTATGTCCCATCTCAAAAAGTTCAAGGACAAACAAACAATTACCTCTTCAAGGACATCGGCAAGCTTACTGAGGATCTCTTCAGGAAGGCTCTGGAATGTTGGGACACTGAAAAACAAAACAGAGGATGCTGAAGCAACTTTCTTTCACAAACAAGGCAGCAACGTGCAAATGTATAAAGATCAAAGCAGGAACTTAAGCATGATTTGATGGCCAACAGGGAAAAGGCGTGTTGTACTAGAAAGAACTTGGAGGCTGAACAGAACTGAGTTCAAATCCCACTTAAAATGTGGGACTGCAAATGCCTCAGCTATAATGGGGAGAAAAAACACTTTCTCCCTTATCAGTCTGTTACCACATTCCCTCCTGTTCCATCTGCCTCTCTGGGTCCCTATAAACACACACACACACACACACGCACTCACACACATGTGCACAAAGTCCTACAGGCCAACTCCTGCTCATTCTTTAGGCCACAGCTCGATCAATGATACACTCAGACCTTCAAACATTCATCCAACAACCTTGGAAGCTACCTCTCTCCCCAACCCCCTCCAGCTAGGTCAGGTTCTCCCAGCATGAACTCCTTTATCCCTTGCTAGAACAGTCATTAGACACTTAATCAGATATTTTTTCCTGGGTGTTCTCCCTGCTAGAATTTAAACTCCACAAAAATAAGAACTATTTATCGGTCTTGTTTGACCCCTGTGTTTTCCATCATTAACAAATAACTCAATGGAGGATGTTGAATAAAGTTATGAAAGTGTAGATGTGTGAATGCTTGCTGGGACAATGAGGATCAGATCAGACAGGGTGGAGAAAAGAGCCAGAGCCTAGTTCTTCTCCCTTCCTCTTATTTTCCCCCACTGACCAGCAAATGAAAATACGGAGTGATGCTAAATGCACAAACCCATGAGTTCTTTTAGATGTGAAATAGTAATGAACTTAAAAGAAATAAAAACACTTATCAACATGTAATTTTTGAAGCTCTCCTGGAAAATCTATCTGGGATATAGAACTAAATTCCCATTTAATCCTATCTCACTGCTTGAATGGAGAGAGGATGCTAAATGAGCGCATATACATTTGCATATCTGATATTTGACTTATCGAATAATTCCAGCTTGATTAGAATGATACAATGAAAGAAGCCATAGCATACTGTTTGGATATAAGCACGGAAGTTTTACTGTTAATTTGTCACTCTGATTCCTATTACTTAGTGTAAAGCCTATTGATAAAATCCCAGGGTTTTATGCAGAGGTAAAACAACTGACCCGGGACCATCTGTTCCACCAGATTTACTGCTGTGGTCTGAGTCACATGGGTTTTAATTTCCAGAAGGCAGTGTATTTCAGCAGCTGGATGGAACTTATCACAGAAAATGAGGAAGACAGAGGAAGCTGTTGTCACAAGTAATGCAGGTTGAAAAATCTAGCCCTTCCTTGTTCTTTTAATGAGCTCTATCTCAGTGTCTCCTAAAATCTAAGAATAATTAGAATGCTTCCACCCCAGCGGGTATTTGTAAAAAACACAAACCATGACTGAGTTTTTCTCCATTCATTTTAATTGGCCCCGTTCTTTAGAGAGGCCTATTACTTCTAGGCTCCACCATTTATTTCAACGTGGGCTATGTCTATACCAAGTCATACCATAAATACTTCCATGTTCCTGAGAGATCTTTCTTATCCATGAGAAAAAAAAAATTAGTATTTGCTTGACTAGGTAATATACTCAATGGAAACAGAAACATTAAGTTTTAGGAGGGCACTTTAAATCATCTTTTACAATTTTACTTCCCCCCCCCAGCTTTGAGGTATAATTGACAAAATTAGAAGATACTGAAAGTGTACAACGTGATGATCTGATATACATTGTAAAGGGCTCCTCCATCTACTTAATTAACACTGCTAGCATCTCACATATATATATATATATTTTTTTGGTTGAAAACATTCCAGTTGTCCTCCTTTAGCATATTTCACAGTGCTACCGGTCACCATCACCATATTACACATGAGATATAGACCTTATTCATCCTAAACCATAGCTAAAAGTTTGTATTCTTTTACTAGCCTCTTCCTGTTTCCTCCACCCTCCAGCCCGCCCCCCTGCCCCACTTTTCTGCTAGATGTTTTTTTTTTTTTTAAGATTTTATTTATTTATTCATGAGAGATAGAGAGAGAGAGAGAAGCAGAGGGAGAAGCAGGCTCCCTGCCGAGCAGGGAGCCCGATGCAGGACTCGATCCCAGAACCCTGGGATCATGACCTGAGCCGAAGGCAGACGCTTAACCATCTGAGCCACCCAGGTGCCCCTCTGCTAGATGTTTCTATGAGCTTGACTTTTATTTAGGTTCCACAATTATAGGATACAATGTATTTGTCTTTCTCAGTCTAGCTTGTTTGACTTCCCATGATGCCTTCAAGTTCCATCTGTGTTGCAAATACAAACTGTGCGACAAACTGCGGGATTTCCTTCCTTCTCATGCCTGAATAATATTCCATTGTATACTTATGATCTTCTCCAACTTAAATGTCTCACAGCCTTTGGCAGCATTTGTTACCAACAAAAAGTAAGGGTGATTTTTAAGAAGAAACGTTTATCAGTAACAACTGGAGAACTTCTAGATTTAAAAAAAAGGAAAGCAATTAAAAAATAAAGTTTCACTTTAATAAATTGCTCTGAAAACACTTGTAGCCATCTTTAAAATCTTAAGATATTTATTACTGCCAACACTACATAAGGTTTCTCATATAATTTGCTTTCTAAGAATTACTGGTCACCAGTAGCTTGAACACCAAGAACAATTTAGAATACTCATAATTTGGAATTCTACCCATGAAATACATTGGTTAAATTTCCCCCAATACATTAAAAGACATTTAGACTTCACTAATTTGGACATATAATTCAAGATGAAGTTGTTTATGATTTAGAAAACTTAAAGCAAAATAATTATCAGGACAAACTGCCAGAACACGTCTCAACGGTAGAGGAGAATATTTTAATTTATGTAAAAAATTATTATAATAATTTGCATACTAATTACAAGTAATTCTTACATATCTATTAAAACATTTTGCTCCCTAAGGACTTTCAATAGGCCTGAAGTTACAGAATGCATTTGAATGTAATGTAATAGAGATGATTTAATCTGTGTAGAGCTTTGCCATTGGCTTTTTTTTAAAGATTTATTTATTTTACAGAGAAAGAGAGAGGGAGGGAGGGAAGGAACAGAAGGGGCAGAGGGAGAATCTCAAGTAGACTCCCCACTGAGCACAGAGCCTGACACGGGGCTCGATCTCATGACCCCGAGATCATGACCTGAGCCGAAACTAAGAGTCGGATGTTTAATGGACCACTGGCTTTTCTAAACTGAATGAAGTAAGGACTTGGAATTTGCAATGACAAAAATAGAAGGTGAGATATGGGTGCTTTCTATTGGCCCGGCACTGGGCTATGGATTTGAGAGAGAACATAAAGGTTAGTTTTACATCCACCTTCTGAAATAACCACTGTCAGTGTCACCCATTTCACAGATTTGACAAGTGCAACCTTGAGAGTTTGCCTGAGGTCACAGCTCTCAACATAGGTGAAGAAAGGATGCAAATGATATGGAGCTCATCACTTACCCACCGAACTGCATGGTTTACAGTAAAAGTATTAGCAAATGCCTCATGCAACTTTCAAACCAGTTCCACATTCTATTAGGTAATGATTTGGATATGAATAATATTAAGAATATGTGATTTATTAACCACCTTTTTACTATGAAAAAAGTTGAACAAATTGAAAGGCTGAAAGAATAGTTCAAGAATTACCTGTAACCCTACTTCTAGATTTGCAGCTGTAAGTTACCATTGCGCCATTTTGTTTTCTCTGCCTTCAGTTAGTCTATTTTCTATGTGTGTAGTGATAAACAGGTTTATAGATATTTTGATGAAATATTTCCAAGTTGCAGATACCACCTCACCCCTAATCTTCAGCATACATCTCCTAAAATAAGAACATGTTCCTAAATAACTATAATACCATTGTTATACATAAGAAAATCAACTTCAATTCTGTATATCATCTAGTATCTGCTTTGTATTTAAATATTACTTATTGTTCAAAAATGTCTTTCCTGGTTCATTTTTTCTTCTCAAACCAGGATCCAGTAAGATTCTACACATTGCTTTTGGCTGTTATATTCCTCTAGTCTCCTATTCTACAAGATCCTTCCACTTTTCCCCTATGGCATTGACATTTTGAAGACATTGGGACCACTGTCTTACTGGATGTCCCACATTCTGCATTTGTCTTGGTGATTTTATTTCTGCTAATCTACTATTTGAAAGCTACAACCAAAAGAGGGGAGAGGAAATCCAAGTACAAAGAATTGTATTTCAGCCATGTGTCAATGAAATTGGAATACACACAGAATAACATAATGGTGTATAGTAGCAGTTCTTGAAAGGTGATCTGATCCTAGACCTTTTCAGGGGGTTCCTCAAAGTCAAAGCAAATAGTCTAAGTTGTAATTTGCCATTTTCACCTTATTTTTCACATGTGTACCGTAGAATCCCCCAGAGACTATGACATATGGTGATGATATCATCATTTTGATATATATGCTTGGATTTTATATATACATAAAACATATATATATATACACACACACACACACATAAATGGATTTATGCCATATATAAAAATGGATTTATGTTATCTATATATATGGATATATGCCTGTATGCTCTTGTGTTTCCTAGAATTTTTTAAGGTAGTATGTAGGTTGAGGATATGTGTGCTGTTTGCAGAAATTAACTCAGTATAATTTCAGTAATTCTGTGCTCTTACTAGACATTTTTCACACATGTAACCTCTTTATCATCCAATATCATTGTTTTGAACTCCTGAATAACTATGGTTATTCAGACTTGATACACATTCCTATGTCAAAGTGAAAAAAAAAAAAAAACAGAAGAAAATACATTTGGATATCTTGTGTTGCAATAAGAGTTTTATATTTTTTTCTTCAAAAACATTTCTAACTTTTAAAATGTTATCTAATACTGTTATAATTTTAGAATTTTGTAATTATTAGTATTAAGAATTTAATAAA